CACAAATCTCATAGACATGAACTCTTAAACTAGGACCAAAGATTGTGCATCAATCCACAACTTAGTCTAGCAAAGAAATTTGGTTTAGATACTTTGTGAACATATCAAATCTACACTTAAAGCTAGTTTATATCTTTAGGATTTGCACAGAAATTTGGGATTCTGGGATTTTGATAACACCGTATTTTGACCACTTTTATGGATCGTTTTGAAATACTTTTTCTATGTTTTTAATTGCTTTTAAGTACTTTTATTACGTTTTTTTAGTATTTGTAGTTCCAAGACTCTTTTCAGGTAACTTAGGGAAAAGCTTAACAAAATGGATAGAAAACCAGATTTCAGCTCAGAGTCAAACCATCAGAAGTTCACCCCTGATTGAAGGCCTTTCTCACCGTCTGATCCAGCTCAAATTTGGAGACCTTAAAGATGGAAGTATCAGCTTTCCATCACACTTTACAACTTGGCAATCCAACGGTTCAATCAAAAGATACGCGAAGAGCAAGATGCCCCGTAAACCAGCCGGCAAGCGTTTCCACCGGTGGCCAACAGGCCATTTCCTGCGGTCAGAAGCATCCCGACCGCGGCAAACCATCCATTTCCCGCGGTCACAGCCATCCCGACCGCGGCCAGCCATCTCCGAGCCCGAAGGCCCATTTCTGAAGCCCACAATGATTCCTTCATTTGGAGAAACCCTAAGAGACGTCGAGAGATGTCTTGAGCACTATAAATACATGTTTTAGGAACCCTAAAAAGAGAGACCCGAATTATTACTTCATACTTTTATTGTTTTTGCCTTAGCTTTTAGGGAGAGAGAGATTTGTTCTCTTGAACTCTTGTTCTTTCTTTTTCAATTTCGGTTTCTATTCTACTTATTAATATTATGTTTTTGATTTCGTCCATCATGTCTGAGTAGTTTTTATTGTTGGGATTAAGGGATTTTCGATGGGGATTTATATGTTCGATGAGGATTCCATGAGCTTTTGAGCCAGAATCTTAGAACTTTTTCTTCTGAATTCGTTTTTATTGCATGAGAGTTGCGTCATGAACTACAATCTGATCCAGATGCTTGGTGACACGAAAGTGTTCATCCGGTGTCAGATCTAGTTTGAGAGAGCAAAACAACCATAGGAGTGGAAACCTACCTATGGGCGATTTGTGAATGCTGACGAGTCTTAAACATAATGCATCTCTTCTCTTCCAGGGCCAGAGTGGAAACCTACTGGTCAGGGTTGAGAGAGATAGTTGTCTATGATCACGACAGTGGCGTATTCATACGTCCGTGACTCCAGTTCGAAAAGTTTAAGCTAAGATCTTATCAATTTTACTCTCTAGCAATGTTTTGAATCGTTCGTACCCCTGAGAAAACTTCCCTGAAGCCCAACGCCTTCTTTCCTATAGATTCACACCGTTTTTATTTCAAGCTTTAGTTCAATATTCTCATTCCTTTTTAGTAGATTTTCATTTAAGCAATTAGAATATCTGTTTTTCTTATTTTTATTCATTTTCGTTAAGTTTAGTTATTAGGCCATTTAATTCCCGTAGTTCCTTTTTAGATTTTGTTTTTTACATTTTAAACACACCACCAAAACCCCCACAAAACCGTTTGGTTCTAGACTTCCTTACTTTATATTTCTTTCAAAGGCTTTTGCAGGAAAATATCCTCCTTCCCTCTGGATTCGATCCCTAAGTACTACAATCGATCAGCTGTGCACTTGCGGCTATTGATTTCATTTAGGGTAAAACTTGACAACCCTCACACCACAACACATCAGATTTAGGGTTAGATAATTTTTCGCAACGAAAGTTGGTTAATTATAATTTCGTGATTTGAGTTCAAAAACCACGCTTAAACCTGAGTCCTGACTAATCAGTTTATCTGCATTCTCTGATTTCCTGAGAATTACCCTGAACCTATCCTTTTCCGATCGAGTTTACAACTGTTTTATTTGCATTGATGCTTTCAATTTCATTATTTATGCTTAGCGTAATTCGAGTCTAATTGGTTTATTGAGTGAATCTCTCGTCTCTGTGGTTCGACCCCTATATACTACAATTGCATATTTGTGCTCTTGCAGACTAGCTCTAGGAATTAAACTTTGAGCAGATCATGGTGGTTGGCCTATGAGGTCAAATCTTCAATTCTTCTCTTACTTCTTTCGTGAGACTGCAGAACATGTCTTTGGAAAATTGGAGATATCTTATAATCTAACAGTTAAATCGCATCCAATCCAATTGCATTAGAAAGATAGTTGTCTCCTCTATGTTGTGTCCGAATTTGGGCTTGTTCAGACGGTAAGAAAGTCTTCATCGGATGTGAAAATTCTGAATGTCCAAAATTAGCCAATATGATTTTTTCTCCAGTTTGTATTGGTTTTTCCCAAATAACCTGAAAAGATTCTTGAAATTGTAAATATAGGAAAATCATAATAAAAACTTAAAACTAAATAAAACTTTTCAAATAACATAAGAAATCCTTAATAAAAATAGGTAAATATGGTGTTATAATTTTGTTTCCCTCTCTAAACTCTCTCTCTATGTGTCTCTCTCTCTCTCTAATTTTTCTCTCTAAAGATATAGTCATAGATATAGTTTGCCGAAGTTGTATTTCACAACATGTTATCCGATCGATTCTCAATTCGTTCTTATGTATAGAGATAAAATTTAATGTTTAGTTGATTTAAAGTTTATATATTATTTTTGAAAATAGAAAGATATGTTTTGCCTTCTCCATATATATATGTCATATATTAGCAGTATACTATATGTTATATATACATTAATTATGTGTGGATTTTAGTAAATCAAACATTACATACTGATATTTTAAAATTATAGTTATAGTAATTATGATTAGAGTAATTATGACTATATTTTATTCAACAAAATTGAAGCAAATGATTTTGTTATGTATTCCTTTTCCAAAAGCAGTATTTGTTATATATCCATTGTTCTTATTAATTCATTGTATTTATGAATACTATATTTTATCGGAAATTAACAAAAAATGTTATTCGTTAATTAAACCTAGTTCATTGTTAATTTATTGTATTTAATGATGGTTTAGTGATGAAACATTATTGTTATTACTTATTATCTCTTTTAAACAATATAAGGTATTATTTCATTGTTAATTAACAATGAATTTACGAAGAATTATTTTTTTTTCTATTAAAAAATGGTTGTTATTTCGTTTTTATTAAGCAACGAATATAATAAATTATATATATATATAATATATATATATATACATATATGAAAAATGTAATATTCTAATTTGCTGTAAATTAATAACAGAATTACATTGATTTTTTTGTGATGAATTAGCATTAAATTTGTAAAATTCATCGTTAATGAAATGAGTCATTGTAAAAATTTGTTGCAAAATAACAATTTTCTTGTAGTGAATAGCCATTTTTTGGATAACCGGGACTTTTGGGTCAAAATCCCCTGTTATCAAAAGGATAAGAGAGGGTTTTTAATCCCCTCACCAGGGGAATTGAACCATGGTTTGTTCCTCTTTTCAGGAAACTTTACCCTAACATGAGGAAAGGTTTTGGAACACACATATGTACTGCAAGTCAAAGTCAACGATACTATTATAATTTCATCTTGAGAGGTTCGATTATTGGAGCTTCAGCTTTAACTCGTTTTTTATCACGTTTTCATGTCGTTCTTTCGTTACTTCTCTGTTTTACCTAAGTGGGTCAGTGGGTGTGAGACATCAGTCTTGCTTATTTAACAAAAAGAAATTGATATGGTCTTCCTGAACTCTCAGTCGTAATCCATATATCAATAGATAGAATCAAAAGTTAACCGCATATCTAGATACATTATCCACATATGGGCGATTCGATCTACACTACTTCGAGATGATGGTAAGATATGACACATTGACACTCACAGACTCACACTTCGGATATTTGAGGATTTAATTTTGTTAGTTGAAGAACCATAATTAGAGTATTCCATAATTTGAGTATTTCCATTGTGATTTCAATCCCTGTTGACCACTGGATGGATGCCTTAAATGGCAAGAAAACTTTGACACCAAATCCTAGTATGGGCTTCAGTCTAGGATTCCCCCGTTAACAACAAAATAAAAACAGAAATCGTCTAGATAAAATTATTTTGAAACTTATGGTGCATTTTAGTTGATCATTTCATTTGATATCAGGTAGGCTATAGATAGAGGGACTGAGAGAATAGCGTGCTTAACGGTCCAAACTGCTAAATGGAAGATAATTCCGTAAGACATGCAAATCACCTAGCTTTTATAGGCCCACCCACCTCTTTTACTTTCCCAAGTCTTTTCTTATTTTTGTATAGATAACCTCTCTTTTGTTTTCTTTTTTACCGTCAATTACTCCATTAAACCATCTCAATTTCTTTTCTTACAACATCAATTAACTCATTTTCACTTTAAGGCTTTAATCCACTTGTAGTTCCACCTAATATTTGACTAAACAATATCACACACATCTAATATCTTTTACCAACCAGACTTACATTTAATGTACATCGCTTTCTCTAACCAGTTATCTCTCATTGCCTCTAAGTGTACCAGCCATGTTTTACCGTTATCTCATACCCGTCAAAACTTTTTTCCCGCCTTGTGTCACCATTAGGTCACTCTCACATAGACAAAGTGAATAGTTCATAAACTGATAAAATGGAGCCAGAAAAGTACAGAATACACAATTTTTATTTAATGTAGAATTATAATCGAAATATTGTTTCACATGCTTTAGAATTAACTCATTTAAAACACAATAGAGTCATATTTTTTCTGCTGAAAAAAAAAAGTCATATTTTAAAAATTACCTTATATTTAAAACAACTACAATGAAATAACTTGACCCCGCAAAAGAAAATACCAAAAAGCTACGACCAAAAAGAATAATGAAGTAACTAAACAGAGATAGTACAGAGCAGTCTGGCCTTGAAATGTTATATAAACCAGTTCACTCTCTCAAATTCCACTCAAAACACTTCTCTAGAGAAATGGAGACACATAAGTTCTTGGTCTTCATAATCTATTCTCTTCTCTCTGCTTCACTTCTCTTATCTTCACCACTTCCAGACCCTGAAGCTGTTGTCCAAGAATTTCACAAGTATGAGTCTTTCACAGAATCACAGTTGCTTTCAAACAGAACAAAACACAACTGTATTGACTTGATGTGATTTTCTTCTACAAAATGTATGCAGGAGCATAAATGCGTCACTTCACAAAGCAAAGACAAGGAGGAGCTTAGCGTACCTCTCATGTGGGACCGGAAATCCCATGGACGACTGTTGGCGATGCGACCCGAACTGGCACGAAAACCGAAAGCGTCTAGCGGATTGCGCAGTCGGGTTCGGTAAGAAGGCCATAGGTGGCCGAGACGGCAAGATCTATGTGGTAGCCGATTCAGGCGATGACGATCCGGTTAATCCTAAACCGGGAACCTTAAGACACGCGGTGGTTCAAGACGAACCGCTCTGGATCATATTCGAGAGGGACATGACGATCCAGCTTAAAGAGGAGCTAATCATGAACTCGTTCAAGACGATCGACGGTCGTGGAGCGTCCGTACACATCGCAGATGGGCCATGTATCACGATCCAGTATGTGACGAACATTATAATCCATGGTATACATATCCATGATTGTAAACAAGGTGGTAACGCCATGGTTCGAAGCAACCCGAGACATTTTGGGTGGCGGACGCTGTCGGATGGAGACGGTGTGTCTATATTCAGTGGTAGCCATGTTTGGGTTGACCATTGCTCATTTTCTAACTGCGCGGACGGTCTCATTGATGTTGTTATGGGTTCGACGGCAATCACTTTGTCTAACAATTTCATGACCCATCATGATAAGGTTATGTTGCTTGGACATAGCGATTCATATGAACGTGACAAGATCATGCAGGTCACTATTGCTTTTAATCATTTTGGAGAAGGTCTTGTCCAAAGAATGCCAAGGTAAATTTAATTTTATTTAGGTAGAGAAAATTAAGAGTGTCTAATAATCTCAATAAAAGATAACGACCTTATTAGAATTAGATTGACGTTACTTTTTTTTTTCTATAACTAAAAAACCAGAACCGAACAGAAAAAAAAAACAAATCAATACAATATAATATTTAGTTTATTCATTTTGTTCAAAAGCTAAAACATTTCTACGTGAAATCCAAATTGCACACTCCTAAAAAGAACATAACATTTAAGGACGTGAGTTTAAAATCATAATTGGAATGTTGTAGGTGTAGATATGGATATTTCCATGTGGTGAATAATGACTACACACATTGGGAGATGTATGCAATTGGAGGAAGTGCTAATCCTACAATCAATAGTCAAGGGAATAGATTTGTGGCCCCTGACATTAGATTTAGCAAAGAGGTCACCAAGCACGAGGACGCACCCACGAATGAGTGGATGAACTGGAACTGGAGATCTGAAGGAGACTTGTTGCTAAATGGTGCGTTTTTCACGCCCTCGGGTGCTGCATCATCCTCTAGATTTTCCAAGGCGTCAAGCCTAGCAGCTAGGCCGTCTTCCATTGTCGGATCTTTAACAGTCGCAGCGGGTGCTTTGAACTGCCGTAAGGGTGTCCGTTGCTGATCCTGGCCAAGAATGAAGAAAGTCACAATAAATGGCAAGTGGTTTACATCTACCACCATCCACCAATTGAGGGGACATGAATATATACTTGATTTACATCTATATTGCTGTTCTTTTGTTATTAGATTCTAGAGAGCTTCACATTCATCACAACTGTTGCTCTAATTAGAATCCATTAAAGGATTTCTGTTTTTAAGGAATCATTAGTGGGATCACTATGGACAACGTAACAAATGTGTAGACGATGTGTTGATATTGTTATCAAGAGAAATATAATTTACTTTCAATTTCCTAATTGGATGCTTGCTCGTGTATTACTAATATCATACAAATGAATAACTAGGAGCAGGGGCCGGCCCAGGGCTAAAGCCCGTGAAGCAAAAGCTTTAGATCATATATAACAACATTTTTGGGGAAGCAAAACAGTTTAATTTTTTTTTTTTAAAGTGTCTATTTTACTTTGTCCTGTATCATTGATTTTGAAAAAAATTAGAAGAAAAATTTGCTTATAAATAAGAGTTATCATCCACTTTTTATTTTATTCTGGGCATATTATTTGCTAAATGTAAGCAGAAAAAAATTGTTTTTTCATAAAAAAATTATGTTTTAATGATATTTTACATTATTTTGATTATATATTTTAATAAATATGTCGTAAGTCTTTTTTCACCCGACTAAATGCATCATTTTTAACGTGCGCTTTAGGCGTCATATGACTTTAGGTCGGCCCTGACTAGGAGCGTATCATAGAAATGAATAGCTAGGTTCGTATCATACAAAAGGATGTTCATAACTTGAACCCATTTCAAAGTAAAGTAGAATTGAGCGTTATGGTGGAGAATAATGTGGACTTGAATATTGAATATCACCCTTAATTGACTAACTTAACTCAAACAATTGACTGATTCATATCTGAATCAGTTATAGATTCAAAACGAAGTGGAGCAAAAAATATAGCGAAGTCCCAATACGTTGAAGGACTAGTTCTTATCTCCTTAACATAATAGTGGTGACCTAAGGACACAATATTTGGCTATATAAATGACATTTCACCTAAAGTTCTAATGTGGGATAAAAATATTTGTTGTCCAATTTTGTTTGTTTTGAGCAACCTAGTTTAAGACGTGACAAACGCTGCATGAAGACGTGACAATCATGACTCTTCATGCCACACAACCTACCACTTTGCTCATCAACACAATTAGATAGATTTGAGGCATATCCATCAGGAAACTTGACATCATCAATAATCCACTGGAAGAATTCCGACTTCACACTCGCATCTAATCTATATATAGGAACCGGGGGCTTGCCATTTTCTGGTAGATGCAACTCAGGGCGGAAACAAAGTGCGGGGAGATCTAAACGGGTTTTTATGTTATCTTTTGTTTTCCCTTGAACATTAAGAACAGTGTTGATAATGTTATCGAAGAAATTTTTCTCAATATGCATAACATCAAAATTATGTCGTAGGAGATGATTTTCCCAATACGGTAAATCCCAAAATATACTTTTTTATGCCAATTATGATATTCACCGTAACCGCCAACAGCCTCATGCCCATTTGCACCACAAGTCACAGTCTGATCCACATCAAAGTCTCTCATCTGCATGAGTAGGTCTTTTCTGTTAGGATCTGGAATGGGCGCATCACGGACAACTCTGTTCCTTCTGAATAATGTCCGACTCCGTCTATAAGGATGATTGTGAGGTAAAAATCAACGATGACAATCAAACCAACAAGACTTACGACCATTGGGCAGCTGAAATGCATCTGTATTATCTAGACAATAAGGACAAGATAACCTTCCATGTGTAGTTCAACCTGATAACATCCCATAAGCTGGAAAATCGCTGATAGTCCACATTAGCACTGCTCGCATATTGAAATTAGACTTTGTAGAAACATCATATGCCACCACACCCTCATACCATAACATTTTCAACTCATGAATTAGCGGCTGCAAGAACACATCAAGAGCTCTACGGGGATGATCTGGACCCGGCACAAGTGTGGTAAGAAATAAAAATTCTCTTTTCATGCATAGAGCCGGTGGTAGATTGTAAGGAGTTACAATAACGGACCATAATGAATACTTTCTACCTCCTTTCCCAAAAGGATTGAATCCATCTGTGCATAATCCAAGATACACATTTCTTGGATCAATTGGAAACTCAAGATAAGTTGACCTGAAATGTTTCCACGCTTCTACATCAGAAGGATGTGATATTTTCCCAGTGAATGCGTGTTCTGCGTGCCATCTCATGGGGGCAGCTGTGCGCTCGGATTGGTATAGTCTTTTTAGCCTATCACTCAAAGGCAAATTCCACATTCGATGGAATGGTATTTTAACTCGTCCAGAAGAATCTTTATACCTTTTTTTTCCACAAAACTTACAAAGTTCCAAATGTGCATCTTGCCTCCAAAATATCATGCAATGATCTCTACATACGTCAATCATTTGGTAAGGTAACCCAATACCAGCAACCAATTTCTGAATAGCGTAATACGATTCTGGTGCTATATTGTCTGCAGGCATGTAATCTTTCACGAAGTCTGCAATTGCATCAACACAATCCTCTGGCAAATTCCATTCTGTTTTTATGCTCATCATTCTTGTTGCTGCTGATAAAGCCGACTGACCCACTTTGCAACCACTATATATCGGATTTCTAGCTGCATCTAACATATCAAAAAATCGCTTTGCATCTGCGTTTGGTTCTTCACCACTATTAGTAGTTTCAATAGTTTCTCGAAACACATCTATTACCATTTGTACAACATTATCTTGTTGTCTTTGCACTGAAGTATTATCATCAACATTCCTAATACAATTTTCTTCCCCTAGACGTTCACCCCTTATAGCATGACTAGTACTTGGCATAGCACCGAAATCTTCTCCATGAGAAAACCACACATAATATCCAAGAGTAAATCCTTTCCAGAACAAATGATTCCATATTGATTCTATTCCGATGAATTTCTCATTTCCACATTTTCGACAAGGACAACGCATCTTACCTTGTTCACGCACGACTTGTTGATTTGTAGCAAAGCCCATAAACTCTGTCAATCCCGCCTTATACTCGGCAGTTATCTCTCCAGTAATTTCATCTAACCGCTTGTACATCTATTCTCCAGTTTTAAAAATGTTATTTGAAGACATTTTTTTTTTATGAATAATTATTTTTCTATTTATTAAAAAATACCCCAAAATTTTTGTTTTAAAATTTGACTAAAAGTCCTTCATCTTATAAATAAGAGGCTCAGAATTTTTTTTCCTTCCCCAAAATGTCATACATTCACGAAGATGGAGGGGAAGGTATATATAGAAAATTTTGCTACGAAACACTTTCTCGGAAATTTCTCGGAAAATTTTACGGACAATTTTCCGACAAAATTTGCGTCTAATTTCCGATAAACGTTTTAACGGAAGGTTCCCTCAAATTACCGACAAACTTGTTATTAATTTCCGTCCAAATTATCGTCGGAAAATTTCCGACAAATTACCGAGGAAACATTTCTGATAAATTTCTGAGGAACTTTCTTATCTCAGCGATATCGTCCTGTTTCCGACAGATTTTCCGACTAATACTGTCGTCGAAAGTTTTCTAAGATATTTCCGAGAATATCTTCTGATTAATTTCTGACGAAACTTTTTTTCTCGCCTAAAATTTCATATTCAGACAAAATTCCGACAAACCACACTATTTATCTGAAAGTCCTCGGAATCTCGTCGGAAAGTTTCTGATAAAATATTTCCTCGGAAAATTTCCTCAAAAATTCACCTGATTTTTGTAGTGTTTAAATGTCTATTTTCATTTAAAGAAACTGTATTTTTGATGTTTTAGTACACTATGTGATAGTATTTGTGGAGAGGAATCCTAACGTTTGGATTTATTTTAGAATATTTTCCAGGGAAATACCCAGCACAAATTTGTCAAAAAAAAAAAAAGTTCCAACAAAACTTTTCCTAATTGTTGAATAGTAAATACAAATTGAAAAGGAATCAGAAAATCTAAAGATATTTTTTTTTGTTGAGCTCTTTTTTTTTTCGGGATTCTCTACCGACATAGCTGAACTGGGTTTAACGGATCGAGATGGATTAAGAAGGCTTGGTTAAAAACGTACAATGGACCGAGGTGGGCTCACAAAACCGAACCGGAAAAACTTGCGACGCCAGGTCAAATTGCTCCTAATTCGATTTGAGACGGGTTCTTTTATGGAATGCGTAGCTCACCTCCAACACTAACCTTTATGAAACCTCTTGACATGCACATTTCGATGCATTTAAATGATCTATGAAAGGAAAACGAATGTAGAAGAGTAGAACTGTATTTTTTTCTTGAGAGTTTGAGAGTTCAGTTTATAAGACTATTTTTACGATATTTTATAATTGATGATTTACATATTTTCTAGACAATCAACATATTGTTTGACGATGATGGTAGAGTTACATACCTGTTATATATGTTCTTTTTATATTTTAAAAGTATATTCTTAAGACACTATTACTCAATGTGGGATCAGAAGAACCTCTTTTTTTCCCCTAAAGAAATTATATTTGTATTTTAAAAACTAGATGCAGCTTGTCTAGCATCATGGAGGTATTGCAGTATTCGAAAAGGTAAACATCAAATTAATTCTGACATTGGAACTTGGAAGAATGTTACGAGTAGCAACAACGACATCAATCACGCAACCAAAGTATTAGCTTCACTACTTTCTTCTTGGATAAGTTGAAAGCTAGTCAAATATGACTGTAGTGAATCTTGTAATGAACACTTCTCGAAATCTTAAATCTCACCCCAAGCTTGTGCCATCCAACGCTCCATATAAAATTTCTATTTTGGTCGTTTTTATGTATCGCACAACATCAAAATACTATCATATTGATTGTACACTTTGATGTTACCGTTGAAGCGTTTCATCTTTTCAACGTAGCACTCATAATGTAACATAAACAAAACGAAAATTATGAAACAAGAAACTCAAATCTCGTGGCAGTGGTCCATGTGATTAACAAGAAGAAAGTTTTAAGTCACTTAACACTTCTTAAGTGAAATAAAAAACAAAATCAATTAGTGTGACCTTACGATAGAATTTTAATAAAAATTGACTCTCATTTTGTTTAGTCCTTGTATAAGATAGAAATTCCTTGTCATTAAGTTACGTGTTTGTTTCCAAATCTACAATATTTCTATTTCAAGTAAAAT